GAGGGCAATTTATAGTAGCCTAATGTAAAAAAAAATTATAATGACCTAATGTAAAAAACTAAATGTAGACACCAAGGGATTTGGTTATTGATTCTCTGAATTCAACTGCTAATCTCAAAAATACTTTTCTTCATAAATATACAAATGATCAACATGCTGTCTCTCTCCAAACAATTTATTACAAATTTAAAATATTTGTGTCACTTTACTAGGTTGTTGTCAGAATAAATGGATCATATATGTGATGGGTTTATAAAAGGGGCTTACAAATGGTAAGCATACATTATTGCTTACTATATAAACTACAAAAATTAAAAGATCTTAACTTTTACAGAAGCTCAATAATATTAATAATTATTGTTATCTTTTGGCAGATTTCAGGGTTCTCTTATTATAAATAAGTGTATGAAGGTGAAAGTTAATACAAAGGAGTAGGATTTTAAAACAAGCAACAAGTGAAGTAGCATGTGGGCAATATTAAGTATGATGTGGGTAAATAAAATCCTTACAGGATTCTTCAATTCAAAGAACAGATTCTATGAATATATTCTGACAGTTGTCTTCCTCAGGGCCTCCTTTACATCTCTATTCCTCAGACTGTAGATTAGAGGGTTTAGCATGGGGATCATCACTGTGTAGAACACAGACACTATCTTGTTCTGTTCGGTAGAGTAGTTAGATTTGGGCATCACATAAATGAAAGTGATAGTTCCATAGTAGAGAGTGACTGCAGTGAGGTGGGAAGTGCAAGTGGAGAAGGCCTTGTGGCGGCCCTCTGTAGAGCGCATCTTCAGGATGGTGATGAGAATGTAGTTGTAGGAGATGGTTATGACAAACATTGTTGCCACAATGATGGAGCCTGCTGAGATGGAAGGGATGATTCCAATAATGGAGACATCTGAGCAGGAAAGTTTCAAAACAGCAGGGAAGTCACAGAAAAAGTGGTCTATTTTATTTGGTCCACAGAAGGACAAACTCAATAAACAGCTAGTAAATGTGCAAGAATTCACACAGCCACCCACGTAGGCAGCTCCAACTAAGAGGAAGCAGATTCTCGGGGACATATGTGCGGAGTAGAGCAGGGGTGAACAGATGGCCACATAGCGGTCATAGGCCATAGCAGCCAGCAAGAAGCACTCAACTGTCCCAAATGTCACTGCAATACAGAATTGGGCTTCACAGGCAGCCACAGAGAGGGCCACTCCATGTCTGAGGAATCCTGTAAGCATTATAGGTGTGATGGATGTGGAAAATCCAATGTCCACAAAAGCCAGATGGCTAAGGAACAGGTACATGGGGGTGTGGAGCTGAGGGCAGCTTCTTATTAGAGAGATTATGCTGATATTGCCCACTAAAGTGATAGCATATATTCCAAGAAATATCACGAAGCAGATGACTCGAAGTACAGGATCCTCTGTTAACCCCAGAAGGATGAGCTCTGTTACAGTGGTATGGTTTCCAGCCTCCATCTCTGTGTGAATTGTTCCTGTGCAGGAAGATGAGAAATCCATTTGTTTAAAATTTTTTAACACTTTCTATTTTCATTTGATTATTCCTCAGACTAATTCATAGTCATTTCTTTCCTCTGTCCAAAATGTAAATATCAGTACTTTGCAGGATTGGGGTTTTTGTTCCTAACTCTGCATAAAATGAGAATAATTAAGTACCACTCTGCCATTTCGGTGGTATTCTTTTCTTCATGTAATATACACAAAAGGAGCTCTCAAACCTTGACTTCAAGGTCTAGGTCCATAATTTCAATGGTCTATTGCGATTCTCACAATGTTCAGAGCTTCTGGAAATCCATAACCACTTAAACTGTGCCTTCCCATTCCAAGCTCATTTTTTTTCACCACTCTACTTATTTTGTATTTGAGGAATATCTGCTCATTCATTCAGAATCTCATGTCTGCAGGAGTCTTGTGCCTTTTTGATCTTTATCTTCTCTTTATGTCAGATCTCAAAATTCCATCTAATAAAATCCCATTGATTTTTTTCTACAATTTATTTCCAATTTTTATTTCTTCGTCTCCTTTTTCCATTCTCAGTGTTCCCATTTGGTTCAAGGTCCTGGTCACTTTTTTCCTGTATTCTGTTTACTTTACCTTGTATCTTTCACATTTTTCATCTTATAGTTTATAATAATATGGTATAGTGACATCTTTCTAATAAAAAGCAGAGGATGTGAACATTTAATTTTTTCAATAATTTTTCAGGTCTTCATGATGAAATTTCAACTCATGACTACTGCATTCAGTATGCTTTCTACATATCCCTGCATTTGAATACATCTCTCAGGATGTTTCTGTCCACCACTCACACTCACCAAGTGTCCGTTGTAATCCTGGTCCACCTACTCACACTCTCCAATAGTACTTTTTCTAAAAAACCTTCTCTGATCCCTAACAGTGATTCTGATAGCCCTTCTTTGGCCTCAGACGCCTTTGTGGACACTACTTTCTGGTTGATGGCTTGCTTGCATTTCATTCTTCTTAGTTATCACATACTCTCATAAATAACTGTTTCATCCTTATTTCACAAATACCCAACACTTGGGCATAAAACGTGCTCAAAACCTTTTGCTGAGTTATGCACGATTAATGCAGTAAACAACTTCTGGCAAACCAAAGGTCATCGGGGTTTGTGTTCCCTCACCAGAAAACAAAGATCCAGAGAGAAGAAAGGTAATAAAACACTTCATGGGATTTGTTGCAGCAGTAATGTAAGTTATGGCTTATTTTGCTTTTAAATAACAATTATAAAATAGAAGAGGACTGGAGAGATGACTCAGCAGTTAAGAGCACTGGTTGCTTTTCCAGAGGACTGAGATTCGAGTCCCAGCATCCACATAGCAGCTAACAAAGGTCCTTAACTCCAGTTCCAGGGGATTTGACACCATCTTCTGACCACTTCAGGCACTGCACAACACAGGTGCACTTACATACATGCAAGCAATATACCCACACACATAAAAAATTAAAAAATAAATAAAAATTATATAATAATGATAGAAAAACACTTGAACATCCAAAATTCCTTTGGAATGTAAATCACACATGACAATTCTCTATATTCCTTTCTGTAATTTTCCCTTTACATTTTAATAGACCTTTAAGAGATACATAGAGTGGAGGGACTGTTTTGTAGCAGGGTTTGGCCTAAGCTAGTCTCAAACTTGTGGTCATCCTACTTCAACCTCCCAAGTGCTGATATTACAGAAAAGTACCAGCATGCCTAGTTTAGAGATATGTTTGATACTGATATGAATAGCTTAACCCAACATAATTGGATTACATTGTATATCCTCACATACATCATTTTTATGATACAAGTGATAATGTATTGAGTGTATAAACCTTAATTTAATCAATTACTTCTTCTTTTGAACATTAACCTTTCTCAACTCTTAACTATCAGAACTAAGAATCCTAGAAATTGGATCAAGCACCATGGAATTAAGATAAGAACATGCAATGGATTTAAATAGCAATTCCATACTTAGTTATTTTTCTAAAAGCAATAATTAAAAAGAAGTATGTACTGTGCTTCATAGTAAGTTCATCATTAACATTTATAATAATGAAAACAGTAAACCAAATTGTTGCCTGGTACTCATTGATTGGTTATATTCTTGACTATGTTTTGACTGAAGATGTTAGTATTTCTCATGTCTATGAGCCTGTTATAATGCTCATATATATATATATCCAATTACAAACCAATTACAGTAATACCAGTATTAGATGTCTTCCAAATGTATTTATTCCTTTTAAATTTTCAAATTTCCTCCTTCAAAGTAAATAAACACCTGTTGATGGAACTAATCTCTTGACTAAGTGAATTGTGAAGTACAATAGCTGAATAGCTGAGCACCTGCAGCCCTTCAAGAATGTCCCCTGACTAGACTCCAGTGGAAAAAATTACAGTGAAAGACATCTGGGTACAAATGTTTGACTGGATGGGACTTACTGTGTATGGCAGAATATATGAGATCCAGTAAGGAGATGGGATAGGCATGGATCAGGGAGGGGGTCTGAACAGACTCAGATTGGAGAATGAAGGCAGGCACCAAGCAGTCTTTCTGTTCTTTGCCTAGTGACTCCAGCAGAGTTCTGAGTGGCAACCCTGCCCTGCTTTTGATACTATAGTAGGTGGTCTGTGCTGGCTAAAGGGTCATGAATCAGAGAAGGCAGATTCTAGGCCAGCTAGTTTAAATTGCACAAGACAATCACTTTGGCTTTCATTTTATTTTTTTAGTTGCACAATGAGATAAATGACCCCATAATCTACCTGTGCTGGGAGATTAAAGGAAACGATATTCATTTAAAATGCCAGAGGTCTTTTGATCACACATCAGGATTAAATAACTATTTAAAAAATTAAATAAATGGGTACCTTTACAATTATTCAATGTTTGGATGTGTGTAGTTTTACCTTTGACATGTCAGGGGGTTTACCTTAAATCCAAAGTAAGAGAAGTGGTGTGGTATTTATGCTCCCTCAGTTCTGAACGCTGCACAAATGTATAATATATAGGAAAACTTTTGCCTTCTTTTCCTCTCCATTGGACACTCAGTATCTAGAGCCCTCCGCTTGCTTTCATGATTATCAGCCTGGGTCAGGAAGTGCTGATCACTCAACTATCATTTCCCTCAATGTGTCTATCACAGGTGGTAAGAAATAGAGACTGGACTCAACCAGATGTAGCTCAAATCAGGCTGTTTCTTCTGATTTTCATTTTTTAGTGTTTTTTTATTATGTGTATGAGCACATTGCCTGCAAGTGTATAAGTGCACCTGTGTCACGCAACCCCCTCAGAGGTCAGAAGAGGGTGTTGCATTCCCTGGACCTGGAGTTATGGCCATTTGCTAGCCACCATGTGGGTACTGGGAATGGAACCCAAATCCTCTGCAAGAGCAGTCAGTGCTCTTAACCACTGAGACATCTCCCCACCCCTGGATTCCTTTCTTTATCTTGGCTCTTGAAGTCTAGCAGCTATATAAGCTACCACAGACCTTCCATATTTCCCTTAAGAAGATGACTGGAGGTGTGCCAAGACAGCCATTGCACACTGCCTTTTGCTGAGGGCATAGGTTCCACAGTGGTCAAAAGATAAAACTGGTGGATATACTTTTCTATTTTATTCTTAAATTAATTTTTAAAATCCTTCTTAATAAAAATCCAAGAATCTTGCACTTACCAATTGTAGTTAATCTTGACACTGAATTCTAAAGAGGACTTTTTGAAGTACATGTATCCTATTTACATATAGAGAATAATGGGAGCTGGCTACTCTATACCATGAAACATTAAGGTTCTCACTGGTCAAGAAGTATAGCTGCACCAATGCAGAGAAGAAACAGTTGTGTGTCTTTTTGTGTATGTTAAGAGAGAAAAAAGGCTGTAATCAAACAAGGAAAACTCTCAGGGGCTGTTAATGCTTTCCTCCTGAGAGAAATGTCCATGGGCTTGCTGTGCAGAAATTACTTATAGAACCAGGTGACTCATTAAGGGATGTCTTGCCCTCCCTAGGTGATATGCACATGCCATGATGTCCAGTGGAATTCTTCACTTGTTTATTGAAAATGAAGAAGACATTTTCTGGTTTCCTAGAAGAATATATGACACTCAGAGTAGATAACTTAATGGTTAATTGTGGTTGCTGTGATATGAGAACTCTCCCACTGAAATGACAATTGAATCAAGTTTAAAGACTTGAAACTGAAGGCTACAATAGCAACAAGTGAAATTATCACTTTGAATTTTTGTCCATTTTACTAAAGAATATTAAAATGACTCTAGAATTTGTAAATATAGAATTGACACATTTTAGTGCATTTCACTGAGTTTTTGTGCATCTCATACAATAACTCTTAATGATATTAAGATCCCTTCCCCTATCCACACCTGCACACCCCCCTAGTGGATTTCATGTATTCTGTCATATAAATTAAGGTGTTGTGTCCCAGGTGCCTTGTTCCTCCAAGGGGCAGGGCCTGCTGCAGAGAACTGACTGTGGACAGTTAGCCACGGAGGTAGGGGCTTCTGGGCACCATCTTGGGATGGAAGCCATGAGCCATCATGAACGTGCAGCAGGGAGTGGAGAGAAAGACAGCCCCAGCACCTCACCCGCATGTATGTGAGAGGAGGTATTTACCGACCTGGGGCAAGACTGTGGGCCCAAAATGCATGGAGGAAAGTTAACAGAGACTGTGGGGAGGCAAAGAAGTGATCTGGAATGGTAGGCCGAGCCATGCAGGGCTGGGTGCTAAGTGTTTGTTTCTTTGTAAGTTCTTCCATTTACCCTCTCCCTACCCAAGATATAAAATGAAAAATTCACATAAAGATATGTTACATGGTTTGTCTGATAGTGTAAGAGACCCTGAGAGAACTCGGGCAACAAAACTAGCGTACTCCAGCCTGGATAAACAAACCAGCCTTGGGGATGTGGGTTAGGGGAAACAGTGCT